GCTATGATCAATGCAGTCATCTTTATAAGAAGAAAGGGTGGGTAGAAAGCTGGAGAACTTGACGTTAGAGAAGGCAGCTCACCCCAGCTAGCTTTCTTCTCTCCCCAGAGGTCAGACACTAGACTCATGGCATCAGAAAAGCATGGAACAATTTAGCCTCAATATGTCTCAGTCAGATCTCTGAGTAGCTAAAAAGTCTTAGCTAACGTGTACATCCACTAAGGACTCCTGTTTCACAGCTGGAAAACGAGTTTGTGACAGTTGCCTGATTCTATGTTGATTGAAAATGTCACCAAACTCGGCAGTTTCCTACCAAATTAAGTGTTTGTAATGCAAGGGCCAAGACCAAGCCACAGTCAAGTTCCCGAGTGACCCAAGTGGTCTCATTTCTTTTTTTGTGTCTTTTTCCTGGAAGTCCGACTAGTCTATTGTTGCAAAGGTCCTATTTTTAAATTATTGCAGTCAAAAAATACGGCTAGCAAGTGAGAAGTCGGGTCACGTCACTCCAGGCTAGTGATTTTTTTTTTTTTATCTGGTGGCTTGGATTAGGGCACTGACATCATGAGATTCTCAAGAGCGGGAAGGGACCTTCAATGTCATCGCGCAGACCCCACCCAGCCAGGCCTCCCTTTGGGAACACCCTGGTCGCTGGTCTCCTGGGGTGCTGGAACACTGCCCAGTACAGGGTGTTCCCCACCCCCGCAGGACAACTCACCCATTTTTAGACAATTCTGATGTGTGGGTAAATCCTTCCACAGACTGAGTTGAAATCCTTTACCCTATAATTTCTATTCCATAATCTGGCAGCTTTCTCCTTTTTCATACCAGAGGCCTTTGAGTAACTGAAGGCAACCTTTACATTTTACACGGTACAGCTCTTCTTTCAAACACCTGTGTGTCCTTCAGTTATTTCTTCTACGGGTGATCCTATCCTCACTCTCACCATCTTAGCTTCTTTTAAGCACTCTTTAAGTCGGTGTGACTGGGTGTACACACTCACACACTCACATATGCCAGAGGTCGGCTTCAGGGTGCCCCTCTGTTGTTCTCTGCCTTACTTTTTGAGACGGTCTCCTCACCGAACCTGGAGCTCATTGATTAGGTGAGATTAGGGAGCAGAAAGCTCGGGAGAGTCACTTGTCTCTGTGCCTCCCCTTCCCTGCAGAACTAAGATTACAGATGTGCACTGCCACATCTGGCTATGCGAACTCAGGCTCGCAAGTCTTCCAGGCAAGCACTTTAGCCACTGAGCCCTCTTCCCAGCTCTGCTGGTATAGTTCAGCCAAGTAGCTTGTCACATACATTAACTGATTCATCTTCTCTTCACCTTGTGTGTTAGTATCGATTTTCAGAAACAGAGTTAAATTTTAGCAAGGTACAACTACTTAGTTAAGGAAGGAAGTAACAACAAGGGATTTAAAACTGGCTTTACCTCTTTCCCCCCCCCCCACAGGTAAAAGACTGCAATTAAAAGAAAGAAATGTTCAGCTGGGTGAGGTGCTGCTCAGCTGGGGTCCCAGCGCTCAGAGAGAGGCAGGAAGACCAAGAGTTCAAGGCTCTTCCCTCCTGCTCTTTTTATTAAGACGGAGCCCAGCCTGGGCAGCACACAGCTTAGAAAGGGTGGTAGTGGAGGAGGAGAAGGAAGAAAGAAAACAAAGGGGGACAAAAGGGAGGAAGAGAGAGAGGGAGAGAGAGAGAGAGAGAGAGAGAGAGAGAGAGAGAGATTGTATTATATAAATCAAGCTTTCATGCATAATCGATGTACGGTCGTTCATTATCCCATGTAGGATAACACCCTTTTTATGACTAAAGCTATTGCCTGTTATTTATAGAGAAGAGCACAAATTTGAGTAGTTGGGAAATGAGCTGAAGGGCTATTGTACAAAGGTGCAGTTAGTTAGGGGCAAAGCGGTGTGAGCAACAAGAAGCAAAAAAGAGTTCTGGATATCTGGGTGGTGGTGGCGCACACCTTTAATCCCAGCACTCAGGAGGCAGAGGCAGGCAGACCTCTGTGAGTTCGAGGCCAGCCTGGTCTACAAGAGCTAGTTTCAGGACAGGCTCCAAAAGCTACAGAGAAACCCTGTCTCGAAAAACAAAACAAAACAAACAAACAAAAAACAAACAAAAAAGAGAGTTCTAGACGTCCAGGAGGTTTTTATTAGGAAATGTCAATGGTAGAGAGAATCAAGAAAAAGAGGCTTAAAAGTCAGAGAAAGAAGTCACTCGAGAAGGCCAGAGTGGCTTGGGTCACCCTAAGTCTAGTGGTTGAGTCTATGTGCACATCGAAAGTGTTGTTTTTCCTGCAAACTTCCATGGAGCTGCTGCTATGCCTTAGGAAAGGGTGGCAAAGAGCAATGTGAACACCTATGGCTGGGGTTAAAGGCAGAGCGAGAAGAACTCCCTTAGGGTCTCTTTGAAACTTGGCCTTGGAAAACCACAGCTCACTTCCCTTCAGATTATTGTGAGAGGTGAGGGGTACCTCAGTTAGTAGTGACCTTGCTCAGCATGCATGGTTCCCAGGTTCCATCTCTGGTACAGTCTAAACTGGGTGTGATAAGTGCAGACATGAGAACCCAAGACTTGAAGGTGAAAGCAGGGGCATCAGAAGTTCAAGATCATTTCTGGTCACATAGTTCAAGACTAGCCCAGGATCCATAAGACCCTCTCTGAAAACAATTATCATGAACCAATCTGAGAACAGAGGCACCCCAACCTCTGTACAACAGGACACCAACGCTTCCCTGTTCACCACTGCACAAAACCAAGGCTTACAGAAAGGTTGTAGACCCAAAGTCACCAGGCAAGACAGCAACAGGTGCAGGAGTTTTGGCCAGAGACCCCAGAACACAATGGGAGTCTTTCTGCTCTATGGCATCTTAAAGCCCTTACTTGCGTACGTTAAGTTAACATTTGTGATCTACCAGATATCTTTGTTCTCTCAATTTCTTTTCTTTCTTTTCTTTAGAGGCCAGGGGGGAGAGAAGGAGGGAGAATGCTGAAAGGTCCCCTGTTCAGGGTCACATCGCTTCATTTGCCACCGTGTTCCTATTGCACCACCAGCCGCCCGAGAGCGGAAGGTGTTCCGTACACAGGGCTGAGAGAGTAAATCTTTGAGTTAGTGTGGTAAAGCATGGAGAGAAGGGATTAGGAAGTGCCTGACCAGAGATGTTAGCTATCCAGGGAGGTGTAGAGAATTAAAAAAAAAATGCATGGCACACAGTATATCCTCAAAATACTTGGTGGATAATTGAGTCCGGCAAAGTCTCAGATCAAAGGAGTACGGGAAGATGCTACAGACACTTCCAGCCTTCTAAGATTCTAACTATACATCTCATTCTGACCATTAATTGAAATTATTACAGTAGCTCACACGTTCATTTGTTCCTCCATCCATTCACTCAGGAGCTCAGATAATACTGATTGATCCAAGTGATATGCCAGATGTTGTGTTGAGTGTTATGGATTCAAAAATAAAGCACCAGAGTCTAGTCAAGGATGAGAAAACCCATAGCAACTGTACTTTGTACGCCATAAAAGCTGCAGACACAGGGTGCTGAGTTGGGGCTGGACTGAATGTGGGCGGCATGAGAGTAAAACAAGGCTGTAGTGGGTAATCGGGGGGACACCGAAGAGAGGTATCCAGGCAGAGACAAAAGCACACCCAGTCATAGGTGGGCAGCAGAGGGATCATATGACAAGGGAAGTGGCACTCGGCACACTTGGGAAGTCAGGAGGTGAGAGGGGAGGCTGGCAGGGTGTTATGGAGCAGCCCTTGAGAGAGTCATCTGCCCTCCCTGCAGGCAGGCAGGACCTGGCAAGATTTAGTACACGTCACTCACCCAGGAGTCTGAATGAACCATAGACTCAGTCTAGTGAAGAGATGGGGGTCTTGATTTCTAAGGAGCCCTTAAGTGATGCCTGATACAAACGGTCCCTGTGACCCTTAGGCAGCAGAGCTGTAGGCAGTGGGGTGTATATATTAGACACAGTTCAGCAGGAGAACCACAAAGGCACAATTACGTTTGCCAAGAACTCTGTCGCAGGATACAGGGGATGGGTGAAGAAAGGCAATGCCAAAGCTAAGTATGCAGTGGCAAAACAAACAAATGAGGTGTCTTAACCAAGCAAGAGAGGGGAAAGAGTTGAGCCCATTGGTTTATAGTCTTTGGAGTCAGGGCAAATATCTCTCCTCTAGGAAAGGCTGCTGCTGAAGGGGATGTGAAACAATGAAGCATGAGCTCACCCCACCCAAATCAGAACTCCGTGAACGGAATCTGCCATGCCCTCCCTGGGACTCGGCTGCATCGTCGTGAACCTCACTCACACCCAGCCGAGGCGGCCAGGTAAAGGACAAGCGTCATGCCTGCAGAGGATTTCTACACCACACAGGTAAAGCCAAGTTTTGTGGCTCTCAAAGGACATGTGTCTCAGGAAATCCCAGAAAGAGCAAGAAAGTTGTGGAAGACAACACAGATGTCCGCTAAATCCCTGAACAACATGTCTATTTACAAAAATAAAAATAAGATTAAAAGCACGGTTATATCAGCAAAAACCACCCATACTGTTGCTAGCATCTTCTCCATCCACCTTGCTATATTCTTAACTTGAAAGCTCATTAAAACAATTGTGGTAAAGGGCTGCACAGCGGGGAAAAGGCAAGTCAGAGCACAGATATGTCCCCTTCATCACACAGAAGCCAAAACACACCACCCGCAATGAGATACTCCTCCAAAGAAAACAAGGGTCACGCTTTGTGTCTCATGTTCTTTGCTGGATCACTATTCTCCAGCCAAAGGCACACGAACTCAAAACAACCATCCAGAATACCCTCTGGCCGCCACTATTTACCCACACAATCTTTAACCCAGCAAATCTCCTTAGGGCACACAAGTTGAGTACAGGCAGCCACGGCAGAGTGCTGGGTCAACAGGCACCCGTTCGTCTGCTTTAGAGTAGCTAGCCTCCCATCCAAGGAGACAAAAACCCGCACAAGCACCTACCTTCCTCTTCAGCAGTGGGAAACCTCTTCACATCTACTCCGATATGGAAGCTCTGCCCCCAGACCTCTGAGTGGAGGTGTAACTTAAGGGCGGTCCATTCATTCAGGTAACCTGAGGAGGGCTGAGTTTCTCCAGATCAGTCTTCAGATACTCCCAGGCTTCCAGAACTCAGGGCAGAGGTGAACTGTGAGCTGTCCCTCAGTGCAGGAAGAAACTGGGAGGCACCGTGTGGCTAGAGGTGGAGGCGGAGGCTGGGGAAGGGAAGTAATCTGGGGACTGTAATAAACGAGAAATTCTCTCCACATCATTTCCTGTATTCCGTGCCTCTTGCCTCTCTCAGGCTCCCCAGAGGAAATCAGAAATTTTAAACTTGTCCTTTGGCTACTGAGAGAGGAGAGAATAAACATGCTAAGAACCATGAAAACAAGGAGAAGCAGACAACAGGCAGGGAGCTCACAGGTCAGCCGCTTTTATCTTTAGCCTAATCCTTTCTACCTCAAGTTTCTCCAAGTGTTTAACATTGCAAAAGTCAAGAGTGCCTTCGTCCTCTTTCATGCAGCTTCTGGCCGTGGTCCAGACGTTGTGTGGCAGAACAGCCAGTGGGAAGCAAGTCAGCATGGGCTCAGGAAGAGGGTCTCCCTGCCCTCTGGAGAGACAAACACTGCTCCGCTTATGGAAAGGCTCATGATGGTCTTTATTAATCATGAAAAAAAATCTCCTAGTAATTCCCAAGCCATTCCTGCACCAGGGCTTGAAGAATTACTGGCGATCTACTACCCATAAACTGCTGTAAGTAGGACCCTCGCTACAGGAAGTGTGAAGCTCACTGTAAGCTAAGAAGGAAAGGCATTCATTCAAAGGTGTAAAAAATCAAAATGGTGACAATAAAGGACTCAGTCAAGGACAGGAATGGAAGCCTCTGTGAGCACAGGGCTCAATAAAACTGCATCGGGTAAGTCACCAGGCTGGTCCCAGCCAAAGGAAGATGCTGGGAATGCTAAATGAGTTGACTTCAAGAGGCTTAGACTCCCCTATTTTTGCTTTGTGGGGTGATGCATAATAGAAGCAGCTGCATGGAGGGAAACTCTGAACTGGGGGTGTGGAAAGATACATGTATTCAGATCTTTCTTTGGGCCGCCAGTTCATAAATAACAGCATGGAGACTTCTTATTTATCATGAAAGTCCGGGTATAGCCTAGGCTGGGTCCTAACTAACTCTTATGATTTATTTTAATCTATATTCTATCATGTGGAGTTTATCTCTCTTCTATCTTGCCCCTCCTGTTTCCTCTCCATGTTTGGCTGGTAAAGCCATCTTTCTTTTTTTCCAGAGTTCTCTCTGTCCCCCGAAGTCCTGCCTAACTTCTTCCTGCCTAGCTACTGGGCATCCGGCTCTTTATTAAACCAATCACAGTGACACATCTTCACAAGTGTACAAATACCCACAACAGACACAGACTACAAAGTGTCACTTAAAATCACCAGGTGACTCCTTCCCAATATCTTGGCTTCTTCTCCCTTTCTTCTTCTAGCTATGAGAGAAATTGCCCTCAAATACACGCTCCATGATATGTTTCCCATGATTAAAATCTTGTACTACATTAAGCAGAAAAGCCCAACACTCCACCATGACATGGAGCAACATCTCCTGCTTTACCTCAAGGCTTCCTTCTGTGTGCCTCCTTCTTCCTCCCTCCTTCCCTCCCTCTCTTCACTGATGAGTTACTCCATGCAGAATACAAACTCCTTGCTCCATGTCCTTTGATTTTCACAGTCCCCAGAGCAGGTTCTCTAACAACCCAATTCCTGGCATTGTTCCCTACAAACTATGATCATTGCCCTCACAACTCCCAAAGCCAGGAAACCTCCCCACACCCCGTTCCCCACTGCTGCTATCTCTGTCGTTTTCTGAGGTATGGATCATATCCCCGGGACCCACAACTCAGAAATATTTTATTCCTATAAGTTGAGCGCTATTGGGAAGAATATTTATAAATTACCATCACAGAGGATCTTCAGAAGGAAGAGAAAATGTAAGCCTCAGAAGAAAACACACTTTTCTTTTTAGGGCTTTACAGTTTAAACTCTGGCAGATGGAGTGCAGTTTCTTCACGGGAAACATTACTGGTGTTTCATGTTTACTAAAATGCCAGAGTGTGTCATTTCCTTGCAGACTATGTTATGAGTAGGTGATGGCCAGTATTCAGAAAATGATTCTTGGAAAGTTAGATATGCTGGGGCTGGAAAGATGACTCAGTAGTTAAGAGCACGGCCTGCTTTTTCAGAAGACACTAGTTCAATTCCAAGCACCCACATGTTGGTTCACAATGGTTTGTAACTATAGCCCCAAGGAGTTTGACACCCTCTTCTTACCTCTGTGGAGAGACCAGGCATACACATGATGCACAAACATACATGTAGGCAAAATACCCAAGCAAATATAAATAAATAAATAAATAGATAGATAGATAGATAGATAGATGTTTAAAGTTAGCTGTGCCTCTCAGTAACGAGACACTCACATGTCTTACCTTCAACCTTCAACCCCGTTCAACTGACAAGGTGAGCACATTTGAGCTGACTTGGGGAGAAGAGGAAAATATGTTCCAGAAGGAAATGTCTTGGGATTATCCCAATTTTCATCTAAAGGAAAAGGAAGAATCAGCATTTCTTGAAACAGAAGCTCAGCCATTTTTTCCCCCAGGTCTGAGGAAGAAGCAAGATAGGGTTCAAGCTCTGAGGCCTCCAGAGGGGACTTTTCAGATCTTTTCTTGTAACTTAGCCTTCAAAAAAGAAAAGGTTATAGAGCCAGAGGGATGAATCTGGCAATTAAGAATACTCGCTGTTCTCCCTGAGTACCTGAGCTTGGCACCCACATGAAGTGGCTCACAACCACCTTGTAACTCTAGTTCCACGCTCTTTGGCCTCCTCAGGTCCCTGCACACTTGCGGCTCACGTGTACATAAACAAAAGTAAATACAAATCTTTAAAATGTTTAAAATGTTAAAAACATCTTAAAGATTCCTCTTAAAGATGCTCACAAGGAATGGGACTAAAGTTAGTAAGGGTGAGGGGAGGCACAGGTCATTAAAACAAAGAGAGAAGCAGGACGGAGGAAATGGCAATGGGAGACTGGGAGGGAAAGGATCGGAAAACAAAGGGAAGGAGGCAGGACGAAGATGGGGAAGGCGAGAAGAAGCGTGGGGTGAGAAAAGGTTAGAAAACATTACCAGGAGACAGGAAATCAGGGGCTGTCACACACCAGCGTTTCCTGTAGGGGCAGCATCAGGACAGGCTCTCTGCACTTCCGCTTCCGGCTTTACTCCTTCAGAGGCGGAGGGAGATCCTGGAACACACCACAGGGGCTGCCGCCTTTTTCTTAGACATAGCATCATGTGTCACTTTATGGTTTAGAACACATCCATGACAGCCACCACTGGAATTTTTAAGCATGTAAATTTGGGCTCCTTCCCTTGGCTCTCCAGAATCAAGAGGTTGCATTGTCTGTTTACAAAGGTTATTCTTAGCTGAGAAGCTCCGCTCGGGCTGCCTGATTAAAGTATAAGTAAGGCCAGCGCGTGCAACGATAGTTAGGTCATGCGCACTCGGAGTAGCCAGTTTTGTGCTTAGAACTGGAAATTTTTAAAGTTTTTGTTGGTTGTTTCAATTTGTGTGTGTGTCGGGGGAGGGGGTGCACACGCACATGTTGGGGGCCTTGCTGGAGAGGCCAGAAGAAGGGTCAGCTCTCCTGGAGCAGGGATTACAGGCTGTTGTGAGCCCTCCAATGTGAATGCTGGACTTACATTTGGGTCTTCTGGAAGAGAAGAAAGCATTTTGATCTGCTGAGCCATCTCTCCAGCCCCATACACATATCTGAAATCAAATACAGGCATTGGCTAAATGAGTTATTTGCATTTTTCTTAGCCACTCCTAAGTTTGGCTCCTAGACAGTGAGTATTATTATTCACATTAAAAATGGGAGCCTCAGAAAAGACAGTGGAAGACTTTAAAGGAGAAACAAAAACAGGATCATCTTGTCAGCAGGATGTTGAGCGGCCCTAGGAGACCTTTGGTGAGGAGGTATGAATCTGTAAGGGGTCTATTTTTTTATTATCTTTCACCATTTTACAATTATTCTTATAGAAACTAGTGGTACAGTAAACAATTCTCATCTTAGAAATGGAGATTTGTTTGGTTTGGTGAAGTTCGGTGTAACTGGTGTTCTCTGTACAAGCACTTATTCTGAGCATTATATTTTCGTTCATTATAGGATACTGTCCAGTTGTACATTTATTGGAAAATTCAGTTGAGCCTTTCTGGCCGTCTATGTATAAATAGACCTGTTCTTCAGATCTCCCTTGGGAAAAGTTTAATCCCTCACACCGCCCTTTATTAATTAACGAGATAGAGGCAACCTCTGTTGTGCATTTACTTCATATTAAGGTAAGCATTCTGATTTTGCTGTTTTGAAAATGATCTTTGGAAGAAGGCAAATGTTAACCTGGCTGACAGTGTGTTGTCCCAACAGTTTCCAATGGCAGGCTCTTTCCTGCGGTGTTCTGGCTGGTTTTTGATGGTCCCTGACTATCTAAACTAAAAGCAGAGAACAAACAAAGTGTGTTGACCATTAAAGTAAGATGACAGGCGGACAAGTGGCCAGATGGGAACACCTCGCTCTCACCTGCTTGGGCACAGAGAAGAACCAAAGCAACAGGTGGCATTTTGAGGTCAGTGACTGTGGGCAAGGTGGAGATCAGCAAGAGAGGGACTGGAACCTTGTAAAGGGCACAGAGCTGTGATGACAGCAGTGGAAGAAGAGAAATACCCAACATCTGCCACTCTGGCTCCACACCTCCGGGAGTTGCTCTTGTGCAGGCATGTAGAGAATTCCAGCAAGGTCTACTAGGGTAGATGGTGGCAATGCTAGCTGCAAGAAAGCGTCATAATCACCCCGGGATTATAACCCACTAGGTAAGTATCCTGAACTGCACAGGCTCTGAAATCATCATCTCCCAATGAATCCCAGGGTGTTGTGACAAGGATTGATCTCCCCATTTTATTTTATGTACATGAGTGTTATGCCTGAATGTACGACTTTACATTAAGTGGGTGCAGTGCCTTCAGAGACCAGAAGAGGACATTGGATTCCCCTGGGACAAGAGTCACTCACAAATGATTGTGAACTGCCATGTGAGCGCTGGGAATTGAACCTACATCCTCTTGCAGTCAGTGAGAGTGCTCTCTCTCTCTCTCTC